TCATCACGACAGAGGGAGGGAAAGAGCCCTCCAGGCGCTGACTCAGTTTCGCTGTGGGCTATCAGTGTGAGCTGGTCTCACCTGTCAATAGCTTCTAAATTTGTCCAATCCCCACGGCCTCAGACTGGGGCAGACCTAATTAGGCTAATTTCAGTTTCCTAAGGGAAAGAAAAGAACAGAATCCTCCAGTCCTCTGAACCTCCCTCTGCTGCCTCCCTCCCACAACTGTCCCCACCTTCTGCCTCCTTTGTCTCTTTCTGATTGGACAATGATGACATCTGTGAACTGGCCCCAGGGGGTCTTGGGCGAGGTTTTAGACTGCAAACGTAATGCCGTACTGGCGAGTCTTAGAAGAGAATGAACATTCTGGATGCCTCCAAAGAAACTGTCTTTCCTGCCTGTCAACATTAAGAGCTGATGTAGTGGCATTCCCACTGTGTGCCAGGCACTGCGCTAGGCTCTCCTTCTCCATTATCTCATGGAGCCCTTACCATAACCCTATAAGGAGCTAGTCCCTGTATCCCTATTTTATTGAGAAACTGAGGATCGGAAACTAGTTGTCATGGATGGGTGTGGCAGAGATGGGATGCTGGCTCTGCTGGGATAGATGAGTTGGAAACTCGTACCAGGTCAGCTGGTTGCTCTTTAGGCTCTCTGTGTCCTTTGTTTATATCTTCCTCGTCCTGCTTAGTTTCAGGATTTTTGTGGTTAATGTTATGTCAAAGCCCCAACCTGTGTCTGTTGTGCTGGCAAGATCCACAGAGGTGAAACTAACGCTTGTAAGCCAGTTGCTATGTGCCAGGGAAATTATCCTCTCTGGTCTTTCTAATAGTCATGCAAGCAGGCATTGTTATACCCACTTTACAGATGAGAAAACTGAGGCTCAGAGAGCTAAAGTAGTGATGGATGGCCACCTATCCAGGTAGTGACAGAACAAGTTTCAGACTTAGGTCCAGGGTTGCTGGAGGGTTGTAGGTAGGCGCCAGGGTGGAGGCAGGAAGTGCTGGGATAATGGAGATAAACAATGACAACAAGAACAACAAGAATGTTAACAAATACCAGTGACAGTGCCATTTAGAGCCACCACTTCTTGCCAGGCAGCAGCCAGGCATTTATAGCCCTGGTGTCAAAGTGGCTTGAGGTATAGAAACACCTTGGTTGCAACACCGCCAGATAACGAGAGCTTGCCATGCATCAGGCCTGTGACCGAGAGCTTCAGTGCTGGCTGCTCTGAACGACTTAAGGAACTAGGTACTATCATGAGCTCCATTTTACAAGTGAGGCAAAGTATCTAGTTGAAGGCCACAGAAAGAAGAAATGGGAGCTGGGAGTTAAACCCAGCTTGCTCGCTTCAAACACCATGTGAGAGTCAGAAAGGCGTCTTCTACACCTGACACTCACCTGTAAAAAAACCAAGACCAGGGAGGATGAGGCGTCTTATCCAGGGACAGCATGGATGTCTTATCCAGATGGCGAAGTCAAGACTAGAACTCCATCATGCAAAGCTCCATTCCCTATCCTGGAATCCCACCTATAGCCAATTCAACTGACCTAGGGTTTCCTGGATCTTTGTGGGTCATTTGCTTCTCTTTAAGGATAGACCTGAGCATTTTAGAGGAGGCGTGTGGCTAGGAGACCTGTTAGTTAATTGCCTGGCTCCCAAGAGCTCAGCCCTGAGGCAGATATAAAAGTCACGGAAGAGGTGGCTTCTGCCCTCAATTTATCTACAAAGCTCCCTGTTCAAGGTTCTGAGGGGATAAAATTAGAATTCTGTGTTCTCTGCAGAAAGCCAGGGCATGTGGCTATTGTGACATCCTAACTGCTTCAGAGCAGATTGCAGGGTGGGCAGCGGGGCTGGTTTAAGGGGCTTTCAAAAACCCCACAGCTCCGAAGTACTTCCCAAAGTCTGGCTCCAAAATGCCTGACTTGGCCGGGCATGGTGGCTCACACCTGTAATCCCAGCTCTTTGGGAGGGTGAGGCTGGTGAATCACCTGAGGTCAGCAGTTCGAGACTAGCCTGGCCAACATGGCGAAACCCCGTCTCCACTAAAAATATAAAAATTAGCTGGGTGTGGTGGTGGGCGCCTGTAATCCCAGCTACTCGGGAGGGAGGCTGAGGCAGGAGAATCACTTGAATCCGGGAGGCGTAGGTTGCAGTGAGCTAAGACTGCACCATGGCACTCTGCCTCTTGTTTTCCACATGGCCCTGACACCTCACTTTCCAGCCTCCATGTTCCCATCTATAAAATTAGAATCCTCTTAGACTGTTGTGTGAATTATATGGTATAAGTCAGAACTTGTGAACCCCAAGAAGGACTCATGACCCTTGTCATCCATCCATTCATCCATCCACACATCCATTCACCCACCCTTCAATCCATCCATTCATCCATCCATCATCTATTCCTCCTTCTATCCCTCCCTCCATCCCTCCATCCATCCATTCCTAATCCATCCATCCCTCCCTCCCTCCACCCATCCATCCATCTACCCCACCATCCATCCCTCCCTCCCTCCATCCATCCATCTACCCCTCCATCCATCCATTCCTAATCCATCCATCCCTCCCTCCCTCCCTCCATCCATCCATCCATCTACCCCACCATCCATCCCTCCCTCCCTCCATCCATCCATCTACCCCTCCATCCATCCCTCCCTCTTTCCCTCCCTCTGTCTATCCATCCATCCCTCTATCCATCCACCCAGTGTTTATTTATGAGCACCTACTGTGTGCCAGGAACACTCTGGCTGCCAGGAGAGCAGTGAAAAAGAGAGAAGCTCCCCTGCCCTCTAGAGTTTACATTCTAGCAGGGGGAGACGACAAAAATAAGTGCATAAATAAGATTATTTCAGAGAGTGCCAAGGACTGTGAAGTCAATAAAAAAGGACAAATGCGATGGGATCGTGCTATCTGAGCTGGGACAGGTGTCACTCTATACCTAGGTCAAAGTAGGTCAGAAACTACTGGGGAGAAGAAAGAAGCCTAAGAGCATTTCTAGCTTGAATCATGTCTGCCATGTGACCATGGTCAAGCTACTTAACTTTTGAGCCTCAGTTTCCCCATCTGTAAAAGGCAGACAAAGCTGTGTCTCCCATGAAGTAGCCATGAGAATTCAATGAGATAATACATGCAAAATGCTTCCAACATTGGCATTCAATAAATGTTAGTTACTAGCTATAATTAATAAAAGTACTGCTAATAAAAGACCTCTCAAAAGAACCACCTGCCCCACCTAGGTCCTGGAAGATCACAGGCTCCTGGCTGAGAAAGCAAGCACCCTGGCGTCTGCCCTATGGGAGGGATTCTGTACGAGTGTTTGTGGTTTTGGTATCTATTTGAGACTCCATCCTTGGCACTGCTGTTACCACTCAGCCAGAGAGCCTGGGGGTTTCCAGACCAGCTGGTGGACCCTCACTCTCTCCCACCTTGCATCCCCATATCCGGGTCACCCACCTTTCCTATCCTAGGGGACAGCTTGGGGACGGGAAAGGGTGGTGTCTATTTCCTAAGTCAAACCTCGGAAAGGTGAGGCGCCCAGGTCTGTGTCCCTTCATCTGGCCAGGGACAGTGCCAGGTTATTTCTACAACATGGCATGTGTTGGTTTGGTTGTGTGTGTATGTGTGTGTGTGTGTGTGTGTTTTCGCTTTTTTATTTTGAAATAATTGTGGATTTACAGAAGAACTGCAGTAATGGTACAGAGAGCCCTGTACCCCTTCACCCAGCTCCCCTGATGTTAGTATTTTACATAAGCATAGAACGGTGATGAAAACCAAGAAATTGCATAGGTGGGTTTTTACAGTTGTCTTCTATACAAAGTCCAGGGAGGATGCAGCTCACCTCAGATGAGTCCCAGATACTTTTTGTGGCCTTTTTGAAGCAATTTCACAATGAGATTTTTATTTGTCTCTCCCAAGGAATTATTACTGGCCCCTCTCCTCACTCCACTGATGGATGAGGGAACTGAAACCCAGAGAGGTACACTTTTCAGCAAATAGGGCCAGACTAGGCCTGGAACCCCTAACTTTCAATCCCCAGCCTGTGCTCTCCCCACATAACAACACTGCAATTTCCTTTTTCCGTTTTTTTTTTTTTTTTTTTTTTTTTTTTTGAGATCGAGTCTCGCTCTGTTGCCCAGGCTGGAGTGCAGTGGCGCCATCTCTGCTCACTGCAACCTCCACCTCCTGGGTTCAAGCAATTCTCCTGCCTCAGCCTCCTGAGTAGCTGGGATTACAGGCGTGTGTCACCATGCCCAGCTAATTTTTGCATTTTTAGTAGAGACAAGGTTTCACCAATGTTGGACAGGCTGGTCTCAAACTCCTGACCTCAGGTGATCCACCTGCCTCAGCCTCCCAAAGTGCTGGAATTACATGCACGAGCCACTGTTCCTGGCCGAGACAATACTGCATTTTCTAGGGCGGTGGGACTTGCCTGAGACCTCCGCTCCCCGGCAGCTGGGACATGGCATCTCAGAGACACGTAGTGGCATGTGGCAGCAAACTCCTTGTCCTCTCTCCTCTCCTGGGGAGAAAAGCAGCAGAGAAGTCCAGAAATATTGCTGGACTCTGAACCTCAGTTTCTTCATCCCTAGAATAGGAACAATGATGAAATGCATCAGATAGAATTATTGCCTGAGGCAAATAAGATATTGCCTATTAAGTATTTCGAATAGTGCCGGGCATATGATAAGCATTCAGAAAACTATTATTGTTATTATTGCTATGATTACTATTGTAGTTATTATTAATACTTTTACGTGTGGTATGACATGATGAAGCAAAAGATATGATAGGCCCATCATTTCCCACCTCACGTCACTCACCTGCCTATTCATTCATTTATTCATTCATTCATTCATTCATTTTCACACTTAATCTCTGGGTCTCCTGCAGCAGACGCAAGACCCCAGAGAAAGCACCACCCAGGGTCCCACAGTCAGGTGAACAGTCTCTTTTGCACCCCCGCCTCTGACTCACTTTCCTTTATCATTTTCTTCTGCAGAATTCTCCACTCTGGTGGCTGAAAGCTAAGAAGCACTGACTGCCCCGGGTCTTCCACCTCTCTGCCCTGAACACCCAATCTCAGCCCCTCTTACCACCCTCCTGTATTTCTGTTCAGTTTGTTTATGTTATTTTTTACTCCCCCGATCCCCTGTGACCCCCTAATGACACCATTCTTCTGGAAAATGCTGGAGAAGCAATAAAGGCTGTACCAGTCAGACTCTGCATACTCAGGAAGACCCAGGCCTGGTCAGGCACTGGCTTTCTAGATGCATCTGGGAGGGGGTGAGGGCCAGATTTCAACAGCTGGAAAAGATGTGATAGGAGGGAATGAAAGGGAACACCCTCTTTTCTACACTAAGTACTAAGTATGGCACTCTACAGAGGTTACCCACTTACTCCTCAAAACCACCCCATAAGGTAGGTGATGAAACTCCCATTCTCTGAAAAACTAAGTCTTAGAGAGGGGAAGTGAGATGTCTAAGTCCACGAAAATAGAATTTGTTAGTGTTGGGGTTTGAATGCAGGTCTGTGGATGGGTAGGTGGATGGATAGATGGATGCATGGATGGATGGATGGATGGATGGATGGATGGATGCATGGATGGATGCATGGATGGATACATGTATAGGTGGATAAGCTAGATGGATGGGTAGATGGATGGGTGGGTGGATGGATAAATGGATGAATGGGTGGGTGGGTGGATGGATGGATGGGTGGGTGGGTGAGTGGAGGGATGATGCATGGGTGGATATGTGGGTGAATGGGTGGGTGAATGGATGGATGGATGGATAGATAGATGGGTAGGCAGATGGGTAAATGGATGAATGGATGGGTGAATGAATGTATGGATGAATGGGTGAATGGGTGGATGGGTGGATGGATGGATGGACAGATGGGTGCACAAATGGGCAAATGGATGAATGGGTGGGTGAATGGATGTATGGATGAATGGGTGGATGGATGGGTGGGTGGATGGGTGGGTGGGTGGATGGATGGATGGACACATAGATGGATGGATACTATTAAGACTTTTTGTTACAAATGACAGAAACCCAACTCAAGTAACTCAAGCTAAAAAGGAAGGAAACAAAGGACTTGATTGGCTTATGTGCCTGAATAGTTAGGTGTAGGTCTTCAGGAACAGCTGGATCAAGGGACTCAAATGATATCATCAGGACTAAGTCCCTCTTTTCCCCTTTCTGAGCACTGCTTTCCTTTGTGCTGAATTTGTTATCGGGAGGACTCTCCCTTCATGATGATAAGATTCCCCCAGCAGCTCAAGGTGAACATTCAGCATTACCAGCAAAAAAAAAGAACTTCTTGTTCCCAACCACTCCATCAGAAGGCCCCAGATTTAGTCCCATTAATACTAGTAGCTAATGTTTACTGAGCACTTGCGCTGTGCTGAGCCCTTTAAAGGATTCCGTCTGCACAGCAGCCCTATGAAACGCGTGCTATTGTTATATCCCTTGTATAGACAAGGAAGCTAAGGCACGTAGAATTTAAATGTTAGCCAAAAGTCACACAGCCGGCACAGGGAGGCTCCAGGACCACACCCCCAGCATCCTGAATCAGACACAGAGGCCGGGAGGAGGGATCCTGATTGGAGACAGGTGGGGTGGGTCACACACAGGGCTCATGGCCTGAGAGTGGGAGAGGGGTTCCCCTGTGGAAATGAGAAGTGGAATCAGATACTGAGGGTGAAAACGGCCACGCCCCTGCAGAATAACTTCTGCTATTCTCCAAGACAGCCTTGGGGAGGTTATTTGAGATTTCCCTGGGTGGGGAGGGAGCACTGGAGTGATAGTCTCTCTCTCACCAGACCCCACGCCCTGCCACCTCCCCTGTGTTCTGAGGTGCCACCCTGGGCAGGGCAATCAGGGAGGCTCTCCCTGAGGGCCCAGCCCTGGGCAGACAACTCATCAGGACGCAGGCTGAGGGGCAGGGATGGGTAGACCCCCATCCAGGGTGGCAAACAGGCTCAGAGCAGGCAGCCCCAGGTCTCGGAGGGGACTAGAGGCCAGCACTGGGAACTGAGTCAACAACGCAGCAAACTCCAAAGGGCTGCCCTGCAGGGGGCTCAGCCAGGTGCCAAGGCCTGCACAAAGGTGGCAGGTAAGCCAGAGGTGGAGCATGTGGGAACAAGCCTGGGAGTGGGAATGTGTGTGAGTGGCATATGCAGTGGGCAGGCATGCGGGTGTGTGCACACACACATGCTCCTGACCACAGTCAGGACCAATGCAGACAGGGGTCTTCATGTGAGGTCTCAGAGGGCCCAGCTTTACACACCGAGGTGGGGCTGGGGAAGAGGAAGGGGGCCCCCCACGCTGGGCTTCTGTAGAATGCAGGGGGAGGGACTGGGGCTGGGGAGCCGGAGCATTTCACCCAGAAACCAGATCAGGGCCCTGCGAGAGGATAGGCAGGTCAGGACAACAGTGACAGCTGCCCACCGGCCTGGAGTGGCCTCAGTGTCTCTTGTTCCACCCCAGAATGACAGCCCACACCATGCAATCCAGACTCAGGGCAGCCAATGGTGCAGCAACCACATGTGGGAGAGCACAGCCCTTTGACCTCCTGGGGGATGCCAGGCTCCAGGCTCCAGGACCCTGTCATGAAAAACCCTGCCTGGGGCCTGGGCAGGTCAAGGAGGAAACGGCTTCCCTGCAAGGGCTTAAGGCCTCTGCGGGATAACAGAGGCAGCAGCAATGGCGGCCACCTTGGGGGTGGGAGGGTTCTATTTACTAAGCCACAGCATCTCATTTCCTCCTTTCAACAAGCCTCAGCAATAAGCACTCCCATTACCCCTGTCACAGGCAAGAAAGCCGAGGCCCTCTGGGGACACACAGCCAGCAAGAGGCAGAGCTGGAATTAAATGCAGGGCTTAATGACCCAACATACCACTGTGCACTGCGCAAGGTGACAGCAGTGGGCAGTATATGTGGAGGGGGGACGGGGAGGGAGCATGGGAGTGTGGCGGGGGAGGTGGAATGATGGGACAGCCTCGCTGGACCCGGCAGTCACTCGCCAAGCCCTCTTCCTCCTGCCTCCCGTATCATGCTCCACTCGGCCGTTTATCTCGCCCTTGGGCCCCCTCATGGGCAGGATTGGATGTGACACAGGGGAGCCCGGCAGCCTGGGTCTCCCATTTGTAAAGAGTCTCCAATTCAGACACAGACATCTGTTCAAATGTGACTGTTATCCAGTCAGTCTCTGGAACGTGGCTTTGGCATCTTTCTAAACTGCAACCTTCACCGTGTCAAGGGGGCTGGCTTCTCCCAGTCTCTGGGAGACACTGGGGGAACCACCCTGGTGTCCAGGGACCCCTGCAGTGGTCCCTGGCCTGTCTCCTGGCCTCCCCTCCCCCTCCCCAACCCACTCTCCACCCAGAGCCCAAGGGCTCTTTCCAAAACGTAGACCAAATCACATTGTTCTGTTTAAAGCTGTCCAGCAACTGCCCAATCTATATAGAATCAAATCCCAGAGCCAAACACAGAGTTCCTGCCTACGGGCATGACCCAGCCTCCATCCCAGCCCTTCTCCCTCAGTCTGGACCATTCTGCCTCCCTGTCCTCATCACCCCCCTTTCCCTGGTTCAGTCCTCTTCATCCTCAGGAATCCACTCTGGAGCATCACCTCCACTGACATTAGAGCTCCCCCCCACCGACTCCTGTAAGTGAAATGAAAAAAACAATATGTGACAATCTGATTCCCATCCACCCCTCCCAAAGACCATGTGATGCCTGAAATCAGGGCCTGTCTGCAGGGGTCCATCCTGCTGGATCTCAGGACCCGGCACCAATAAAGATGCTGGGCTTCACCCATCCTGATGCAGATGTGGCCACAAAGGCCCAGCGTGGCTTGTGACTCACTCAAGGCCACATAGCAGTGCAGAGCAGAGCAGAACGGGGCTTGGCCCCAGGCCCCTGCTGTCCCACCCCTGCCATAGTGCCATCCATGGGGACTTGCTAGCTCAGTAAGGAATTCAGGCATGACAGGAAGCCCTCCCCACCCAGCACACCCCTCTGTGGCTGAGTATCACTGGATTCCACTTCCTCAGTCTCCAGCCACCCACCGGCCTGACACCTGCATCAGCAGCCCCGTCTGGGTTTTCTCATCCACTGAATTCAGCTCTGTCTCTTCATTGTCATGATCAGAGGAGGCTCGCTGTTTATCTCCATGCCTTTCTGTCTGAGAGGCTGGGAGCAGGAAGGAGAAAGCTCAGGCCGGAGGAAGGGCCTCAAATCAATCTGTCCCTGCGTGGTTTTGATAAGAACCAGGAGCAGCCCAGCTTCATCGAGTGATGAATGATCACTGGCTCCCTGGATGGGTTGATATCCCAGAGGTGGGAGACAGGGGACTAGTGGGGAGGGGAAGAAGAGCCAGGAGCATCAGAACAGACTCGATGGAGAGGAAGGATGGGTGGGAGAGTCAGGATTGAGCCGCCCTCTGCTGTCAATCATGTCCCTGGAGAATATGACTGTTCAGGACTGCAGCTCTGGGGCTGCGTCTCCCTCCTTCTTGCCGGACACTTTGCGTATACCATCTGCTATGGTCTGAAGGTTTGTGTCCCTCCAAAATTCACAGTCAAAACCCAACTCTCAAGGTGATAGTACTAGAGATGGGCCCTTTGAGAGGTGACTGGATCATGGAAGTCAAGCCCTCATGGATGGGGTGAATGCCCTCATAGAAGAGGCCTGAGGGAGGCTGCTAGCTCTCCACCCTTCCACCATGTGAAGCTGTAACAACAGGATGCCATCTATGAAGCAGAGAGCCCTCACCAGACACCCAGTCTTCCAGCACCTTGATCTTGGACTTCCCAGTCTCTAGAGCTGTGAGCAATAAATTTCTGTTGTTTATAAATTACCCAGCCTAAGGCATTTTGTTATACCAGTCCAAATGGACTAAGGTACCACGTCTTAATCCACACCGTAGCCATCCAAGGAAGAAATGTCTATTTTTTACAGGAAGGTTCAGAGAGGTTAGGCAACTTGCCCAAACCACCCAGCCAATAAAAGTGAAAATTGCAAACATGTATTCCCTGACTTGACAAATAATTTCTGAGTGCTTTCTTGTGTCCGACACAGCTAAACACTTTAGAAGGCTGACCTCATCGAAACATTCACTTCCCAAAGCATTCAGCCTCTTTCCCCCTCTGCTTCCCCAGTAAAGATTCCCGTCCTCAAGGCACCTGTGGCCACTGAGACACAATCAGTCTAG